TTTCATTATAGTTAAAGTACCAGATCTCTCAATTTATGATTATGGTTTACATAGGTATCACTGTAACTTGTGTTATCTGCATAGGTATAATCGAACTTTGCTATCTGCATAAAATATCCAAGTAACACATAGTGATTGAACATCCGTGCATTGAAGAATATCATCTGAACTAAACAGTCTTTTGATACTGTCCGGGATGGTGATGTGTTTCTGTGTAACTAGAAATAATGCACGTTCCTGTATAAGCGTTAGAACAGTGTCCTATGCAATGCAGTGACTAAGATGAATTATAGTTCTCTCGAAACAATAAAGTCATGTTCAATGGAAAAATAATATCATTTTGCTTCAGTTTTTAAAAAAATTTAAAACGTGGCACTGTCTGCATTTCCAGTTCTCTTTTTATTTTTTATTTTATTTTATTTTTTTTAACATTTACAGTTCTTAATAGCCTCAAGTGGCTACCAGGCTGGACAGTACAGAGTTAGAGTAAACAATGTTAGTTACAGAAAACTTACCGAATCAAAATACCTTAAGTCAATAAAAGATTTTTTAATTTTATGTTTCCCAAGCAGGCTTCCAACATTCTGTGGCTTTCCAGTATTTTGTAACAGACCATCTGGAACATGCAACCTCCAAGGTTCTAGAATCACGGAAAGGGTGAGCTGGAGCACTGTACTTTTGTAAGCACTGGCTTCGAAACAGCTGCGAGCTACGCCTCCCAAAGCAGGTGCCAGGGTGTACCAGGGCACTGTAGAGTACTCACAGGGGCTTCCCAGGATATCTTCAAAGTTTGCAGGGTAACAGCAATAGCTGTGGACAGCACACATTACTACTGTTTGGAACTATCTAATAAATGGAACTGGTAGGTATTTGTTTTGGCATAAGGATACTACGAAAAAATGATTGATTTTATTTTAGTAGGTGGTATGGTGGTTAAGGCACTGGACTCCCACATGGCTGATCATGGTTCAAGTCTCAGACCTGGTGGTTTGCTTTCTCACTTCCCCACTCTCTCTAGTCAAATTAAAAAAATAAAAATGATGAATTAAATAATAATAATAATAAGGTAGTACTAAAGATGCTGCAAATGGAAAGTTTGGGAACCTCCAGCGTACAAATCACTTCTATTCTTCCATTGGCCAGAAGTCAGTCACATGGCCGCTGCAGTTAGCTGTAGTCACATGGCTGGGAAATGAGTCTTCCCCTTACTGTGATGAGCTTCTCAGTTGTGTCACTATCTGTTCTTCTGATCTTGATCATTACATCCTTTTACTTTTTTTACATATACTTTTTTTAAGAGAGAGATTTTTGCTATAGGGTGCATGCGCTTGCCGGAAAGAAAGAAACAGAAAGCTAGACCTTACCCCCCCTCCCCAGGGGGATGGCCATGCTGCAGTCTTCCATTCTCCTTTCAGGATTTTGGGTACATATGAACACATGCCCACTGTGATTTTCAAGCCACCAGGTTTGGGAAAGCCAGCAATGTAACCATTACACCATCTGCTGGTCCCCAAACTTTTTTTTTCTCTAATATGCCAGAGGGTCATATGCTCACCAGAGAGGGAGGAAGAGAGAGAGAGAGGGAGAAGATACTCTCCATGGGGGATGGACATGCTGTAATCCTTCATTTCTCTCTCCTTTTGTGATTTTGGACAACACATGCATGTGCACCTGGCATGTTTTTCAAACTGCTGGGTCTTGGACTCAAACTGCATGGTTGATCACGTGAAATCTAGTCACCTCAACCACCAGGCCACTAGCTGGCCCCAGACTACTCCAAATGCGTATTTTCAAGCACTTTTTTTTTTTCTTCAGACTTTTGCCATAGAGTGCAGGCACTTGCCAGAGAGACAGAGACAGAAGGAAAGTGAGAAATCACTGCCTTCCCTGCCCCACCCCACAGAGGAATGGCCACACCATAGTCCTTTCTCCAGCACTCTCCTCTTGGAATTTTTGGGTATACATGCACATGGGCTAGGCATGATCTTCAGTCCCTGGGTCTGGGACTCAAATGGTGATTGACTATGTGGGAATCCAAAACCTTAACCACCATGCCACCTGCTGACTCCTCAAGCACTTTTGTTTTGGTCTCTGATTCCTTCCTCCTTGCAGAGAATTGCTAACGCTTTCCAGATTCCATCTGTACTCCATCAGAAGACAATTATTCTTTTAAAAGAATTATTTTATTTAACTTTGTTTATTTTATTCATTTACTTAAATTTGACCAGAGAGGGACAGAATGAGAGAAAGTGAGGAAGCAAGCTGCCAGGTCTGGGACTTGAGCCATGGTCAACCACGTGGGAGTCCAGCACTCTCAACCACCGTGCCACCTGCTGGCCCAACAATGATATATTTTTTGACTGTGCAAAGTTAATAATGCATTCTCTGAACAATATCTGCCTTCATATATTATTGTTTGAGGCTATAGATGTCTCTTAATTTTTTTTAAGGGGCTGGCAGATGGTGTGGTAGCTAAAGCTCTGGGCTTACACATGGCCAACTGCAGTTCAAGTCCTGGACCTGGAGACTTGCTTTCTCACTTTCCCTCTCTTTCTGTCTGCTTCTCTCTGGTCAAATTATAGAAAGTTAAATCTCATTTAATTAAATTAATTATTATTAATTTCCTATAGGGCATGTGTGCTGACCAGAGAAAGACAAAGAGACAGAGACCGTGAGAAAATAAGCTGCCAGGTCTGGGACATGAACTCCAGTCAGCCATGTGGGAGCCTCGTGCCTCAATCACCATACCACCTGCTGGCCCCAATGTCCCTTAATTTCTGATAACAGTGTTACTGAGTTATAATTCACGTATGTATAAAGTTCACCTCTTCAAAGTGTAAACTCTAGTGGTTTTTATCATCACACAGTTGTGCCATCATCACCACTGTATAATTCAAGAACTCTTTGATCCCCTCAAAAAAGAAACTTTATACTCATTCCAGCCATCACTAGCCTCATGAGCCATCATTAGCAGTCCCCAATCCATGACAACCCTAATCTACTTTCTGTATCTATTTGTGTTTTCCCGTTATTTCATATAAACAGGAACATACATCACCTTTTGTGTCTGGCTTCTTTTCCTTAGCCCTACCAAGTTCTCAAAACACCTTAATCCTTCCAGCAAAGGGAAGGGAAAAGTAGCCATTTTGAAACAACAGAGCATTCTGTATTTATTGATAAATTTTTTTAGCTTTTGCTGTAGGGCATGTGTGCTCACCAGAGGGGGAAAGTGAGAAGTCCCCCCCAGGGGGAATGGCCACAGTGCCATCCCTTCTCGATTTGCAGAATTTGGGGCATGCATGCACCTGTGCCTGGTGTGATTTTTCTGAAAATGGATCGTATTTACTATTATATTTACTATTTACGATCCACTATTACTATTAGCAATTTTAGAGTTCAGATTTTTCCATGATTTATCTAGTTCCATGCCAGGTCTGGTTTTTTTTGACATGACCTCATCATTCTTTGTGTTTTCTATTATAGTATGAGACATTTCAGGCTCATCTTGTATCTTCCCATCCCCAGACCTAGAAAGTGTAGTAGAGAATGATACATAAAAGCCATGATGGGGTCAGCAGGTGGCAAGGTGGCTAAAGGTGCTGAACTCCCACATGGCCGACCACGGTTTTGAGTCTCGGACCTGGTGGCTTGCTTTCTCACTTTCTCTCTCACACTCTATCTCTCTAGTCAAATTAAAATAAATGAATAAATAAATAAAGTTAAAATAATTTTTAAAAAAGCCATGATGTCAGATTTAGCTGTGTTTATTGTTATTAAGGTGTCACTAGTTCCAGGCCCTATTAATGGACAGTTAAGGAACATATATACACATACACAAACATACATGCATATATGGGTATTTATGTGAATCTTCAGGAAGTTAGTAGAAAATGTGTGTTAGTTTTAGTTTTACGGCACCAAAATGTGCTTTAATTATATTTTCCATGAACTTTTGAAGCTGTTTCAGAATGTATAAATGGAAGGGCGAGGTGGGATATGTGGAGGGGGGCGCTTTTCAGTGGGGTGTAGTCATGCCACAATCCCTTTCCTCCGTGTTTCCTTCCCATAGGGGTTTTGGGCATGTGAGCACATGCGCCCGCTGTGTTTTTCAAGCCATGAGGGCAGGGATTTGAACTGTGGTTGGTTGAACATGTGATATCTGGCTCCTGATGCACAGCATTTAACCACTGAGCTATAGGGCCAACCCAGGGAGTTTTATTTTTTAACTGTAATTGTGAGTAAATCGTTTGTTCATAATTCAAAGAATACAGAGGGTTAAACAGTATGAAGTTTGTCTCATCCTGCCTTTGAGGCACTCCTCGATTCTCTTCTTTGAAGACTAATCATTAGCAGTTTTATTACCTCTTTCCAGAGTTTTATTTGTTTGTTTGTTCTTTTAGATTTTTGCTGTAGGGCGTGTGCACTTGTTGGAGAGACAGATGGAAAGAGAGAAATCACCCCTGCAGGGAGATGGCCACACAGCAATTCCTTCTTCTCTTGGGATTTTGGGTACACATATGTGAGTTTTAAGCCACCAGATCTGAGACTCAAACTGCAAGTAGACTACAGAGGAGTCCAGCAACATAACCATTATGCCACTTCTGGTGCCCTTCCAGAGTTTTTATGCTGATGCTCTTTCTCCCCACGTTTTTATTGTACTATAATTTATTTAACCCCTCCTATGATGGCAGAATTGATGAACAGAATTGACACATTTCTGATGTGAACCTTCCAATGCTCTGGTGTTTTAAATAATGTATAACATGTACGTGAAGCAGGTGTTATTATCCTTGTTTTACAAGTGAAAAATCAGAAGTCCAAGGTCACAAAGGCAGTAAACTTTTGGAATCCAAAGCTATTATTTCTACCGTAACTCAGAAGGAGCTGTAGTAAAACAATGAGATGACTTTTTCACTAGGAAATTTTCATTCTTTGGCTCTTATTACTTACCACTTAAATGTGTATTTTAGATACGTTAAACTCATTACACTTACAATTTCTTAGATAGTTAGGCAGTATACATTTTTATTAAAAGGTGAAAACAAATCCAGTAATCATCCAAATGATCTCCAGATGCCACGTGTCATTTTTTTGTTCATGCTTTCACTATTGTTTTCCCCAAATTATCTCCTTTCAGCATTCCCATAAATGCAGCTGGCATGTTTTCAAATCCTTCAATGACATATTCTTGGTACTGGATTTTACCCTGCATCAAAACAACACGTTTAATAGTTTCATATTCTAAATGACATACTCTTCTTATTCCAGCAACGACTGTATCAGGTACACCATGAGAACCTTGTAAACAGATGCCCTGTTGTCTGGGAACTTGAAGTCAGTTTAGGGGCAAGATCTCCATACACTGTGTGTGTAACAGATTACAAAGTACATATGAAAGAAATTCATAGGTGTCAGATCACATTGTGAAATGTCACAAGACAGTGATTAAGCAATTTCTTTTTTTATTTTTTTGGAGAGGTTTTTGCTATAGGGCGCGTGCGCTCACCAGACAGACAGAGACAGAGAGACAGAAAGCGAGAAATCACCCTCCAGAGGGGATGGTCATGCCGCAATCCCTTCTCCTCCATTCTCCTCTCGGGATCTTGGGCACGCACGCACACGCGCCCAGCATGAGTTTTAAGCCACCGGGTCCGGGACACGAACCACGGTCAACTACGTGGGAGTCCAGTGACATAGCCATTACGCTAACTGCTGGTTCCCATGATTAAGCAATTTCTAAGTTAACTTTTCTAAGGGTAATAATGTAATGATCTCAAAAGAAGTAGAAGTAACTGGAAAAAAAAGCACCATCCCTGGGTGCTGTTTTAATCACTTCCAGCAGCCAGGTAATGTAGAATCATTCCTTACCTCTGGCCTGGAAAGAGGCAGAGCCTATTCAGGAAATGTATATACCATGGCAGTCTAATATTTGTCTTTTCAAAGTTCTTTCTTTTATTTATTTATTTATTTATTTATTTGAGAGGTTTTTGCTGTAGGGCGTGTGTGCTCACCAGACAGACAGAGAGAGACATAGAGACAGAAAGTGAGAAATCACCCCCCAGGGGGGATGGTCACGCCGCAATCCCTTCTCCTCCATTCTCCTCTCGGGATCTT